TCGTACGCGATTATTTTCACCGGCACATCCTGCCTGCCGTGACGTTTGAACTCGGCTCAGAGACACCGAAATACGAAAATATCTTTTTGACTTTTGACACCCAGATCCGCCGCTTAATTTAAATTAATTTTGTGCGTTGGCATGCACCACTAAAAACCCGTAATTTAATGTGATTTGTGGCGATTTGTCGATGATTTTGAAAATAAATAAATAACGGTAGAATCAAATAACAACTGGTGTTTTGGTACTAGCCGAAATCTCCTTCGGGACTAACTCCTAGTCAGTCGGTACACTGAGCTCCCGCAGTGAAATCATTAATCAGTGATATATGTCTTTAGGAAGCAGATCAAAACCAAAAGTACCCAAAACTAGCGAACATTAACCAAAAAATTTGAGAATAAAATGTTTACATTTCCGTGCCCACGTAGGCACCGGTCGTAAACATCCGGAAACCAAGTTCAAGAATAAGAACTTCTCTGCATTATAATTATTTTCCCTTCAGAAGAAAAAATCATACAACTAAGGGACTATTTTCAAGAATGTCAAAAAGGGGCACCTCAGATGGATTCTCAAATTCTCTTAGATGAAAGGACAAAAACAAAGAAGAAAACTTTGCGATTTGTTTGTCAATTTTTCTGTTTCAGCTGTTTCGCGTTACGAGACAACTCAAATTAGACTAATTTTTCTTTTTTTTTCTTTTTTATGTTTGGGGATTTCCGAACCTGTCGGAAATGTTCTGAAACTCGAGACAGACGATGTAGTAGCAAGATCTACAGAACTGTGAAGTGACATTCGAGTGACTAATAAGAAAACAGAAACATTAAAAATATAATTTATACCAATGTTAATAAAATAGTAATGGGTTTATTGGATTTAATTAAGTTAATACGCTGAAAATAGTGTACATTCTAAGATAAAGAAATTATACGATGTGAAAACGAAATACTTTTTTTATATGTGTGAATAATAATAATAATAATAATAATAATAATAATAATAATAATTTTATTCACGTATACAATGGAAAAGGACACGGTTCAGATGAACAAAATTAGATATTTTGTGTCTCCGTTTTTAAACCTATTCTAAGAAGAAGGTAGCAACGCTAGGCAGGAAAAATACACATAAAAAAAATAAAAAAATACCTAGTACGATCTGTGCAAATAGAGGGACTTACACTTTGGAAATAGTTTATAGTAGACATCTTTCAAAAATTCCAGAGGCGTGACGTGGAGAGGTGAGCAGGCCTTTAAACCTTAAATTTAAATTGTTAAGGTCCGTGCGAAAGCTGATTTTTTTGAAAAGATAGCGTGGAGACTTCAATCTTATAATTTTGTGATAAAGATTACATTTATGGAGATATCGTAGATTTTTCATATGAAGCCATCGGGCTTCCTTCAGTTTATGACTAACAGGCCTACCGCGTTTAATCCCAAAAATAAATCTTGGACAGTATTAACTCTTTTGAAAACGTGTTTGTGAATACCTTCTACCTTTTGCGAGTTGGAAAGTTAAATAAAAATGAAATAAGTAATAATAAAAATGTTTTTTTATAAAACTTCTGGAGTCCTCCTGCGCTGTTGACTGACAATTGACAGTTTCAGTCAAGCTCTGAAGAAACCAACGGGATCATTGGCGAAACCTGAGCTAGTTCGAGTCAACAAAAACCGACGCAGGAGGAATCCAGAAGTTTTATAAAAAGTATTGCAGTAGCCTGTCGAAGTTTCTTTGAATAAAAAAATGTAACTACCTGTATTCGTTTCTTCCTGGTTATTATCGCAAAAATCGTATTGCGCTAACTATCCCTTAAATTTTTTTCGTGCAGGTTTTACAAATCGCACTATTATATAGCTACAGCAACGTATTCGACAATGAAAACTCAATACGACTGCTTAGTATATTGTACTGTATTGTTTATAGTGGCTTTAAAATATTTTGTAATTGCTACAAAAAAAAATGGAAATATATGTTATTATGAAATTTTAAAAAAATAAAATATTCAGGATTTTAAAAAAATCATTTTTGATTTTTTTAAATAAAAATCAGTTTGCCCAACATTGCTTGATACGGAAACAAACCTTAAGCGATCCAGAAAAAATTATAACGGAATTCGGCCGATATTTATAATGATTTATTTTTCATGGACGGATGTGTCCGATGGGAACGCGAAAAAAAAAACAAAACTAAACCGGCCGCTTACGCAACCGCGACGGGACAGATTCTATAACGGCGCAGAGTATATTCGGAAAGCGAGAGTGAGTCGCCGTTCTATTTTCGTCGTACGTAGAGCATATTATTATAGATTTGACATTGACCGAGGTCATGGTTTGCGTAACGCATACCTACGTGCCACAGTTATTGTGTGTTACAAATAAAACCGCAGCGTCGCCGCGACATTAACATTTCAAAATACCGTGGACAATAACGCGGACATTTTTTTTTCGCGAACGCTTCAAACGTGTCGTCAGGTGTGGGGTAAATTATAAAAGAAACTTGGCAACGGAATATGATAATTTTTAGTATACATTATTATATGGAGTGGTTGGTGCTGGCCTAATTTAACAGACCCATCGCAATAACGATCGGCGCGTTATCTAGCGGCGATGCCGAAAATCGACGCGGACGTGGCAACGCCGCACCGTATTGACCAGCCACGTTGAAGCCAAATAGGAAACCGCCGGACCGGTCGAAAACAACGCGAAAATAACCTGCGGACGAAAATAATGGGGGGGAAAAAATGTCCGCGACGTCCAAAACTGTCAAGGTCGGCCGAATATCCGAGACCCACAGAATAAATTAGAAAAATCGCCAGACCTGTGGTGGGCGGAGCATTTTCTCTTTATCCTCGAGACGAAACGTCTTCCTAATTCTTCAAGAAAAATCGTGAAATGTCTAAATTTACGTTTAACTGGTTCCGCAGTGCTGCCCATGTAGAAAAATAATTACCTGTATAACGCGTCTAAAAACCAAAAACCTAGCGCTTATTGCTGCAAATAGGGGGTTGTGACGTTTGGGATTTATTTCGTGAATCGAGCGCAAAAATATTCTACTTTATTAACCCTAAACGCCGCTCAGTAGCCGATGGCGCCGCAATAATATACGTTATCAATTAAAAATTATTTGCTGACGCCGTGTCATCAAATCCGGTAAATAAGTGCAACAATGAGAAATTCGGGGTTTGTTGGAACGCGGCTTAGGAGGAGATTTTCCCATCGGCAACTTTATTGTCCTCGTTAAACTGTGGAAACATCAACACGTCAACATTGAAAACCTTCTTTCATCAATATCGTATGCGGCGACAAACGAGCGTGTGAAAAAAAATATTTCAAATTTTATAAACATCAAAATTGTACACGACCCGTAAATGTAACAGGTTTTAATTTTCCGCGAAGAGTAAGTTTTTTGTTTTGTAATTTAATAATCAACAAGACGAAGAAAGAACTGTGCATTTGTTTTGGCTCGACCACTTTAACGTCACACTCAGGACTGGCACGTTTCCTTAGTTTTGGAAGACCGGCTTCAGTTGTTATAAAGAACCTCAAAGCTACAATGTCTGCGGTCTGGGTTGTCGTCTGTAGTTTCTTCGTGTCGACGACTTTGTATCTTTTGAAAGATCTGGTGTTCCCCAGGAGGTTCCTTTATCGGTACTGCCTGAATAATACGTTTATTCACCTTAGGGTTCTTAGAGTTACTTTGGACACTTACCTTTCTTTTCGGACAAAGCTCTTGGGATGCTTGGTTTCAGAATTCACCTTGAAAACGCTTCTTGATAGAACAGGTTGATCGGTGGTTTCTAAGATTCCTTAATCACACATCTGCGATTACCATAATTTTTTTCAGAGCAGAACTTATTACGATTATAGTCAAGGAGGAAAAGTAGTGATCCAACTATTTTTGCCTCCCTTTCATTCTATTTTCTCCTAGTTCCTTCCATTATCTGTTCCTATCAGTACATTAAAGTTTAAAGACTTTGGAGTCCACAAAAACAACATTAACATTCTTAAATTTTAAATACGGTCTAGCAGGCAGTGGGTTTGTTTTAATGCCGACCAACTCTGACTTTGAAGCACTTGATGGGGGAGTTCCCCAAGGCGCTTTGAACTTGTATTATACAGCCGACTTTGCAGTTTTTTTTAAACAAATCCCAAGTTGACTGAACCTTCATCAAAGATTTGAAGTTCAGCTTAGCTGCTTAGTCTACCATTTGCCCTACTTGCTATGAAGATTACCAACGTAGAGTAACTAAACATAGGACCACCGAGATCTTGTTTAATGTGTTTAGTTAAAAAAAAAAAACTATACAAACATATATAAGGTCTGTGTTCAATAATGCAGTCGTGTAGCTGAGTTCTTTTTTTACTCTGGTGTACTCTTTGTTTGTTGTTCATTTCTTCCCTTTCCTTCCTTTCCTAATTATATTTTCTCTTTGAGCGGTGGGCAAATCCAAAGAAGTTTCTTTTTGTAAACATTGCACCGGACTAACCAGTGATCTAGGCTTTAGGAATGTTGTAATGAAAAATTCATAATGACTTACCATACTTAAATTGTTTGCTTGTCGATTTAGATAGCGTTCTCACTTTCATTCTTGCAATACTCGATATGAGGACGTTCTGATCCTATGGTCTAATAGAAGTCGACTATTTTGGAACAAAATGTTTTAAAGTGCCACACCTGACTGGACTAGGAACGTTAAAGTTGCAAAAAAGTTGAAAAAACGCATTTTACAACGTTGACGAATACCTAAACAATGATTTCTGTGATATATGATATGTAATAGTGTCATGGTCCATAGGTGTACATCGTATGTTTTGTACCGGCTTTATTTTAAGTATTTTATCCGGTATGCTTCGTAGGCGTTTGCCTTGGTCTTGTTCTGCTGACGCGCAAGTGCACCGATAAAGTAAATATAACGTCCGAAAAATCCATCCTGCCCATGCGCAGTGCGACCCCGTCGATTTACGTTAGGAATTCGCACAAGATAAGGAAAGAAAGGCACTCACTCGACGCGAAGGGCTGGTAAAACTGCTGAGACATGTGATTCGGCGCGCGTTGGTGAACGGGCGACGACCAAGACAGGGGATGCCTCGAGAATAAGTTTGCCACGGGCGAATGTATCGACGGCTGGAGACGCGCCTTGAGCTCGTCCGTTGACGCGTGTCCGCTCGAAGAACTGTCGACGTCGGACACTCCCGAATCGGCCGGACTCGGCGGCAACGAACCTGCGAAGAAAGAAAACGGGAAAACACATCAGAGGAGAAAATCGCAATCGGACGGTGGTGGTCCCTATGAAGGTATACTTCAACCAGAAATATAGTGCTTTTACAACCGAACCCCGCGATTAACTTTGAATACTGTTTATTACCCCAAAAAGGTAGACTCTTACGGAACACCCTGCCGAGCGGACCCTTAGCATCCTAGGAATTTATCTACCTACACTAACAAACAGGATATAAGTATATTTTCAATCTCTTTCACCGAGCAATTCTTGAAAAATGTACATAAAAAAAATTGTACAAAGTAACAATTTACGTTCTCATCATTAATAATATACAAAATATTAAATATAATAATAATAAAGTATCACTCACTTAAAAAATCGTCACTATCGCTACTGCAGCAGCTTTATACTGACAGTTTAGCTACCTCTTACCGAATTACATTTCCACAGATCGAGAATCAAGTACATAAATACGTACTTACTAGAAAGATCACAGTCAGATCGTAATATATACGAACATACTGTAATTTAGATTAAACTCTTAAGAACAATACATGTCACCCGATGTTAAAATAAACGCTTCTACTTATTCGAAAATACCCCGCAATTTCTTTCTACAAATATTCGTTACGGTCCATCTCAGGCAAGACCTGCTTAATCCAGAATAAACATCTGTCGGGATGGGTTTTAATACGGTCCTGCCAAGGTCTGCGTTTAAGGTGCTGTAAAATACTGAAAACGTCAAAGCAATAAGTGCACTATATTTTTGGTCGTATTATAACTGGGGGGTATCGGTTACGTTGTTTTCGCCACGGACGGTGGTCCATCTATAATCTACCCCCTCTAATCTTTTGTCGTCGCCGTGTAATTGCATTGTTGTGACAAAATAGCGAACGCGTCGGCTTTTACCTGCGTCCGGCTCATTTTCGCACCTTTCTAGATCTACAAGAGTTTTATTTATTATCTCACGGGATAAAGGGATAACAATGGGGTGCGGTCAAATATTTGATCCTCTTAAAAGACGCCCCGGGCCTACGTCCGGGGTCGAGGGGTTACTCTTGGCGCTAAAGCCGACACTCCGGACAAAAATGACACGTCATTGACATTACAATTTAAATAGTTATCCATTATATCACTATTGTTAACGATTACGAAAGCGACGAATAAAAATTTTATCTGGCGTTTTACGGGTTCTACTCAAACACGATTGCACGATTTGTAATATTGTTTTTGTGTTGTTCCATTATTATCATGTAAAGCACACTAAGCACAAATGCAAACACCCAGCCAAAAATAAACGTAAACGCCTATAACTTGAGAATAACACTATAACATGTCGCCGTATCGATCGAAAAGCAGCGGTATGACGTCACGATCATTCCCGTGCGTTTAGTGTCGTTTAAAAGGGATAGCCGGGAGTCACAATTTGAATTATTTATTGCAACAGACTGCAGAGCAGACACGATACATATGACAAATAATAAGTTTGGTTTGTATGCCTAAATCGTTGTTTACTTTCCACAGAATATTTGATTTATATTTAATATATAAGTTCGTTAACTGTATTATCTCTCTCAAAAATATTATTTATTGTTAAAAAAATGCAAATTATTCCTTTAACAAGCTTCTCTAAGTGTTAATACGTACCTAATTATAACAGAAACGCTGTCTTATGAAACATTTACCGAAAAGCGAAGAAAAATGAAAAAGAAAAAAAATCGTTAATGAGCAAGAACCCAAATCGGCTCTATGTGTAAGATTATCCAGTTCTAACCTCGTTGAAAGAGAAAATATGAACAGTACGTGAAATAGAGTTTCACTTTCTCGGAGATTACGTTACGTGCAAAGTTCAGTAACGTTGAGCTCCTCTGACAAACCTAAAACCGTAAATTTTGTAAAATAAATCGTTCGTTACTCTGAATTAAGCTAGTTTAATATGCAAAATTTAACCACAATTACATTTAAAAGATTTGATATTACTGAGCGGTATATATGATATAGATTTTAAATGGTATTTAAGTAAAAAAATACGTATTCTTGAGTCAACAAATTCTTTCACGCCAGAAGATGAATTTTATTTCAAGTAACAAATCAAAAAAATTGAAGTCGACAACTTACAGATATATATATATAAGAGTGCATCTTATAAACTTAATGAGATTGAGAGTAAATTAATTAATTGTTGTTATCATAGATCAAGATAATTAATCGGTTGTTCTCCGATTAATGAATAACGAAATAAAATCAACGATGTGGCGGATTTGTGTTAAGATAACATTTAGCTTTATCCAAAGCCTTGCTTTAAGGGGGCGTTTTAATTTAGGTCATGACGTCCTTTTTATCCGTATTGTGAGATGTTTCTGGATTTTGTTAGCATCCGACCGACAAAACGCCCTTTCACAAAGGCGCCGAATTGATACGTTACGATTATCAACGCGCCGTCGGTCAAATATCGACGTTACCGCGTCGACCTTCAGGAAGCGTATCTTCCACATCGTCGATGACAACGTCGGTCCCGGAGGAGCCCTTTGTAACACGAAAACATCCCCTACCCCGCTATTTTGGGCAACGATGCGTCCGCACCCCTGGAGCAGGTTTTTTCAAGTTCCGTCACCCGATACATGTCCGTTTCATCCCTCCGATGTCCGGCGTGACCCCTACGACCTTTTGTCCATTAATCATATCTATTATACGGGACGGGGTCATCGCCGTAGTCCATCGCAGGGTGTAGACCAAGCGAAATAGCTGTCATTCGTTTTTTTTTCCGACGAACCGGTACGCGCCGTGAAATTTTGTGTTTGTTTTCGCCTTCTTTCTTTTTTTCCGTCCATTCTTTACAAGCAAAAGTACACGGAAGAGCAAAAAGGAACAGAAGCCTTGCCGCCGGAATATTTATTTATTATTTTCTTATTTCCTTAGTATTCCCAGGATCGAAGAGAACAAGTAAAGAATAAACAAACACAGTTCAAACTTGGTTGGTGATTTTTTTAACTGTGTTGTTTTCGTATGTATCCATTAAACGCGAAAGGATGCGTTACACAATAAATATAGGCACTTAGTGGCGGGATCCAGCATAGCTGCTCATCTTAAGAAAACATTATAAGAATCATAATTGAACAATCATATATAATTTTAAAAAAAGAAATGTGATTATTTATATACTTAACTAGCTGACCCAGCTTCGTACTGCCTCAATTGATAAATAAAAGATCTAAATTTCGTATAAAATAATCTTAAAACAAACATTATGTCGTGCTTGCTGTTGGGTTTGATGTGCACGACATATTGGTTGGTTGGTTGGCGAATCTGATGTCAAATATTATGGTTGGGTTCAGAAATTTAGTTTGTGACAAAACTTAATATTTATCAATCTATAAAACAAAATAATCTGATAGATTAACAACTGAAGTTTTCGCGAAGCCGACCAAATTGAAAATCAGTGCAACTAACGATCTACATTTTGTGACCATACGATTTGAACTTTGTGCAGCGGTAACAAATTGAAAATTGACTCTTTGAAGTTAGGAATACTCCTGCGTTTCTTAGACAACAGTGATTATAATTTAATATGGATTTTATTGAATAGAAATAATTACGTTTATACAGGAAGAAGACAACGATTGTTTTAAGGTTTCTCCCGGCCCTTATTACGATTTTTCTTAACTTTTAAACCTTCCCTAGACCTCCACGAACATTTCAAGACCAAGATAAAATAAATTCGTTCTGCCGTTCTCGAGTTTTAGCGGGACTAACGAACATGGATGATAAATCTGCATGTCATCAGCATATTGATAAGGCAACATTTGAGGCGATACAAAAACTCTGCTGTTAAGACTGTAAACAATAACGGTCCCAACACACTTCCCTGTGGTATTCCTTTCTTGGCAGCAACAAAACTACAAACATTTTCAGCCAGCACCATACTCTTGAAGAAATGCACAGCTGAATGGCTCAGTCCAAAATACCCAAGCTTTTTGAGAAGTAAGTGTGGTCTAGCGTATCGAATGGCTTGCTGAAGTCCTACAGTACCGATCACCTATTATTGCCAATGACCTGTTCAAAATAAATAAGAACCAAAAGTTCAGATTTTCAACAACACCGTGTCTTTAACATTTGATAAGGACACGGTGTTGTCGAAACAATTGTCATGTCAAAATATATAATTTCGTGAAAATCTGAACTTTTAGTTCTTATTTATTTTAAGTAAAAGCCACGTCAGTTCAATGAATGACCTGTTGCCTCAGCAAGCCATCCGACACATACGAACGCAAACCTGAGTGGGGGGTAAAATACCATTTATTAACAAGTTGTTCATATGAACATAACACTTTGGACAACTAACACAATATGAAAATTGAGCGAAATTCAGAGCGGAGTATTTGGAGAGGGAACCTTAGCTACTGGCCCAACGTGTGACACCGCCCCCCCCCTCCAAAAGCGTTGGGAATATCCAGTATCCTCATTATAAAACTCCAAAATAATTTTATAAAAATTCGGTTCTTTCCTAATCATTGAGTGACGGCCGAAAAAAAAATTCCCACAATCCGACACAGGACGGTTGCCTAATCGCACTTGACAATCGGCTGACCAAAAACCGCGCGACTCTCCGCTCTCCCCTCTCGCACCCCGATAAATCAAAACATCTTACGGTCGCTGAATGGTTTATGCAAATGACAAAACAATCGCGAACTGTCGCGCGTTCTCACATGGTCGGCCATTGAGTCGCAAACGCGCAATTTACTTATCCAACGGTCACCTTAAAGTAACGACATAATCGTCCGATTGTCCGGTCGCCCAGCTGGACATTGCGAAACCCCGATCCGAATACCCGGATGAGCTTTAGGTGATTCTCTGGTCACACGCGAGATTATCTATTAGGAATACCAACAGGAAATCGTTGGTTATTTCGTGACTGATGGTTGGTTTATCAGTACAGTTACCGCAGGGCCAATCTTGCTTTGTATTGTTTTGTATCACCTTTTTTTACAAATTCCATCTCAG